GCAACCTCTGCCTCCCGGGTTCAGGTGATTCTCCTGCCTCAGCCTCCCGAGTAGCTGTGATTATGGACACGCGCCACCACACCCAGCTAATTTTTGTATTTTCAGTAGAGACAGGGTTTCACCATCTTGGCTAGGCTGGTCTCGAACTCCTAAGCTCAGGTGATCCGCCCGCCTTGACCTCCCACAGTGCTGGGATTACAAGCTTGAGCCACCGTGTCGGGCCCCTCCCAGCCAGTGCCAGGAGACAAGATATTAAAGATATCTGGCCGGGCGCGGTGGCTCAAGCCTGTAATCCCAGCACTTTGGGAGGCCGAGGCGGGTGGATCACAAGGTCGAGAGATCAAGACCATCCTGGTCAACACGGTGAAACCCCGTCTCTACTAAAAATACAAAACATTAGCTGGGCATGGTGGCGCATGCCTGTAATCCCAGCTACTCAGGAGGCTGAGGCAGGAGAATTGCCTGAACCCAGGAGGCGGAGGTTGCGGTGAGACGAGAGTGTGCCATTGCACTCCAGCCTGGGTAACAAGAGTGAAACTCCGTCTCAAAAAAAAAAAAAAAAAAGATATTAAAGATATCTAGAGTCTGAGCAGTTTTAGCTGCCTCCATTGTTGTCCTAGTCAAAGCCATCAATGTCTTCGTTTTGCAGAGACAGTAGACCACATAGAACTAATAGTGGTAAAACTAGAATATGAACTAATTTAGTTTCAGAGTCCTAATTTACGCTAGAGTGTAAAATCCAGGATAGAGACTTTTGTCTGTTTAGTTCACTACTATATCCCCAGTGCCTCTAGTGGTGTTTGGAACATGGTGCACACCCAATAAATACTTAAACAAATCAATCCACTACCAAAGCTAAAAGTGTTAACATTTGTGGCAGAAAGAAGCAAGGAAATTCTCTTGGGAAATTCAAAGGGGGCTATTTCAAAGAATAGTCAGTGAGATAGTGGTATTCCTATGTATTGTTAGCATAACTTGCCCTCTGGCATTATAGATATATTTTTAGTAGAACTGATTTTTTTCTGTTTTTGTTTTGAGACAGTCTCATTCTGCCACCCAGGCTGGAGTGCAATGGCATGGTCTTGGCTCACTGCAACCTCTGCCTCCTGGGTTCAAGCAATTCTCCTGCCTCAGCCTCCCAAGTAGCTAGGATTACAGGTGGGTGCCACTATGCCCAGCTAATTTTTGTATTTTTAGTAGAGTCAGGGTTTTGCCATGTTGGCCAGGCTGGTCTTGAACTCCTGACCTCAAGTGATCTGCCTGCCTTGACCTCCCACAGTGCTGGGATTACAGGTGTGAGCCACCACACCTGGCCAGACTGATTTTTCAGGTTATACATAAGCATTGAAAAAAAGGACCATGGCAAGCCAGAGGAAAATACCAGTTACAGAAAACTGCCTATACCATTCTCTTCTCTCTCTGGATAAGAAATCTTTCAAGAATAACTGGAGGAATGTCAGTGTATATATCTATATATGGGCATATACGTAATATGTATATAGATAAAAAGGTAGAAATATAGGGTGTGTGTAGACAGGAAATATATACAATTTATGAGGAAGCATTTCATTAAATATTTGAATGCATGTACTTTTTCTGATGCAAAACATCAGAAAAAGTACATGCATTCAAATATTTAATGAAATGTAAAAGTTAAACATAGATGATGTCATAGCCACCGGACTTCGTAGCTACTAGCAGTTGCCTGCCTTGTCCCCAAAGCAGTTCAACAAGCACCTTTGAGTACTCCTGAGGTGCTTGCTAAGTTGGGCTCGTCACTAGTCATAAAAGCTATATAGCTATTCACAAATTCCACAAAATATATATATATTTTTTTGAGATGGAGTCTTACTCTGTCACCCAGGTTGGAGTACAGTGTTGCGATCTAGGCTCATTACAACCTTCCCCTCTCAGGGTCAAGTGAACCTCCCACCTCAGCCTCCCGACTAGCTGAGACCACAGGTGTGCACCACCACACCCAGCTAATTTTTTGTATTTTTTGAGTAGGGACGGAGTTTCACCATGTTTCCAGGCTGGTCTTGAATTCCTGAGCTGAATCAATCCACCTGCCTCAGCCTCTCAAAGTGCTGAGATTACAAGCATGAGCCACCATGCCCAGCCTGCAAAATAATTCTTAAACTTGAAGAGGTCCCTGGCAAAAAAAGATGGATTTCACCGGAGGTAAGTGCCATCCTCCAAATTATCTCTGGTAGATGATCTTTTGGACATTGCCCTGTTGAAAGCTCCAGAGCTCTGCTGCCAAAGGCCTGTCTGGTAGCTGATGTAAGAAAAACAAAGACACCAGATTGAGTTACTTTTTGTTTTAAATAAAGCCACATATGTTCAATAAAGGATAGTTAATATTGTCTTTTCTAGTTTCTGGATGTGAAAAAAAGTTCTCCTCTTTAATGAAATGATCATGTCTTTAAAAAAATTCTCCTACCACTTGGCAAATGAAGAAACTGGTTCACATGTTTTGGTTCTAGGCTGGGATCTATTGCTCTAGAAGATAAAGAAGAAAAGATTTATGGGAGAATTGTTGCCTATACCAAGAAACCAAATGACTTCTTTCATCAAAGATGGGCTTTGATGAACTAAGTGAGAGATACAATCAAAATTCAAATCGACAAGTATGAGCTCAGCATTATTTATTCACTTATTGAGTGGCTGTGCTATTATTAGGCCCTGTGCCAGGTTCTATGGATAAGTAGTGAAGAAAATTACCCAAGATCTCTGCTCTGGCATCAAAAGCCTCGGGGAACTTTCCAAGGACATCACAGGGTGACAGTTTTCACACCCATTCCTACTTTCATCAGTACCCAGGTGTTGTGCGGAACCCCTATTAACCTCAACAAGGGAAGGAACCAAGTTCAAGAGGCTGAAGAGACCCATCACCCAGGCTGGAGTGCAGTGGTGTGATCTCGGTTCACTGCAACCTCTGCCTCCCAGGTTCAACTGATTCTCCTTCCTCAGCCTCTTGAGTAGCTGGAATTACAGGTGTGCACCACCACACCCGGCTAATTTTTTGTATTTTTTAATAGAGACGGGGTTTCACCACGTTGGTAAGACTGGTCTTGAACTCCAGAACTCATGATCCACCTGCCTTGGCCTCCCAAAGTGTTGAGATTACAGGCGTGTGCCACCGTGCTCGGTTGTTTTATTACTTTTAATGGCAAAAACTGCAATTATTTTTGCACAACCTAGTATTAGAGGCTTACATACAGGGGAGAGAACCTAGTGGCAGTGAGCTGGAAAGGAGAACCTTAGGTATAGAAATGGTCCAGTGGTGACAGCTGGATAACATATCCGCATGGCCTAGTGGCAGTGGGCTGGGCAGGAAAACCACAACCCCCTGCAAACATCATGCAGCTTATATAACATATTCACTTAATGATACTCTCCCTGTAATGACCTCCCTCCACCTGGCAACATTCATTTGACCCAAAACTTGGGGCCTCAATCTCCTGTATGTCTTGTGTTCCAGGTGATAGACTGGGGGCTAAGATGTTTATCGTAGGTAAGGAACAAAGATCTAGTTGGTCATTCCTGGATTCCCTATTTAGGAACATACATTCAGGTGCATCTGCCATACAGGATTATTCTAAGGATATGCTTAAATATTTGCTATCAGGGCCAGGCATGGTGGCTCATGCTTGTAATCCCAGAACTTTGGGAGGCCAAGGTGGGCAGATCACTTGAGATTAGGAGTTTGAAATCAACCTGACCAACATGACGAAACCCCATCTCTACTAAAAATACAAAATTTTTCCGAGTAGCTGGGGTAAAAAAAAAAATACAAAGCTTAGCTGGGCATGGTCGTACATGGAGCAAAATTTAAAACAAAACAAAAACATAGGCTTATAGGTTATATAGTCCTTTTCCTTCCAGAAATGAGTCTTGCTCTGTCACCCAAGCTGGAGTGCAGTGACATGATCTCGGCTCACTGCGTTCAAGCGATTCTCCTGTCTCCCATGCTCAAGTGATTCTCCTGTCTCAGCTCCCAAGTAGCTGGGATTACAGGCATGCACCACCACACCTGGCTAATTTTTGTATTTTTAGTGGAGATGGGGTTTCGCCACATTGGCCAGGCTGGTCTCAAACTCCTAACCTCAGGTAATCCACCTGCCTTGGCCTCCCAAAGTGCTGGGATTATGGGTATGAGCCACTGTCTGTGCCCACCCTTATATATAGTCCTTTTAACCACAAAGAATTTTTTTTTTAAAGGCTCACTTTTGGGCTGGACCCTGTGGCTCATTGTGTGTAATCCCAAAACTTTGGGAGGCAAAGGTAGGGGGATCACTTGAGTCCAGGAGGTTGAGGCTACAATAAGTAGTGATCATGCCACTGCACTCCAGCCTGGGCCACAAAGTGAGACTCTGTCTCAAAATACAAACAAACAAATAAAACACTCATTTTTGAAGCAAATACTGGGAGATGGTAGAGGTGATAATGTTGGGAAGTTGAGAAAGATTTGAAAGAGGGCAGATTTCAACTACCTCTTTGGACAGTTTTAGCAACGGAGGGAAAGAAGAGCTAAGCAGTGCCTGGAGAGGAATGGTGATCCTTACTATGTCAACTTGTAATCACAAAGTGTGAAGCATGGAGTACCCAGCAGGCACTGAGAAAAACAGTTCTCACCCCTCCCCCAACCCCACCATAACAGGGAATCAGAAGAATTTTGAAGATCTAATGAGTAGTAAATACTTTCAGCTTAAGCAGTTACTAAAAAAATAAAAGAAACAAATAATGAAATGCTGCATTTGCTGATTAGAATAAGAAAATGAATTTTTCGGTCTGACGGCATACACACAAGCTGTAGTTCAAAGGTCACTGCAACCTACTCACTTATACTGACAGTAGGCAGTATTCTAGGGTTTACTGCAGCACTAGTTGCTATTTCAACATAACTTCAAATAGCCCTGAAGCGAGGTACTCTATCCCTCCTGCCAGTAGCCCCACTCCCACCCAACTCTGGGAAAAAAAATTTAACAAAAAGATAGTCACATTGAAAAAAAGTTTATTTAAAAAAGTTCTAGCAGCAAGAACAGTAACAAAAGAAAAGGAGAGACAAACAAAACAAGGAGGTCGTATATCACGGAACTTGTCTCCACTCTTAATCGAGTTCTTTATACCGAGCAAACATGACTCTTCGAACAGCATCTCGGTAAGTCTCGTTGGACTGTCTTTTGCTTGTTCTTCCTGGGGCTCCAACACTGGGGCCCCTCACCCGGCTTTCAGCCTGTAAAACAAAGACAAACTATGAAGTGGGCCCTATGAATTAATTAGCCTCAGTGCTAGTCTTCGACCACAAGCATTTCTGGACTAGTAAGGAGCAGTATATAGGAGGATTTTTTTTTTTTTTTTTGAGACAGAGTTGTGCTCTGTCACCCAGGCTGGAGTGCAGTGGTGTAATCTGGGCTTGCTGCAAGTCTGCCTCCCAGGTTCAAGCAATTCTCATGCCTCAGTCTCTGAGTAGCTGGGACTAAGGGCGCCTACCACCATGCCCGGCTAATTTTTGTATTTTTAGTAGAGATGGGGTTTCGCCATGTTGACCAGGCTGGTCTGGAACTCCTGGCCTCAAGTGATCTGCCCAGCTTGGCCTCCCATAGTGTTGGGATTACAGACATGAGCCACCACACCTGGCAGGATAATTTTTTTTTTTTTTTGAGACGGAGTTTCGCTCTTGTTACCCAGGCTGGAGTGCAATGGCGCAATCTCGGCTCACCGCAACCTCCGTCTCCTGGGTTCAAGCAATTCTGCTGCCTCAGCCTCCCCAGTAGCTGGGACTACAGGCGTGTGCCACCATGCCCAGCTAATTTTTGTATTTTTAGTAGAGACGGGGTTT